TTTTAAGTTTATCAATTTTACTTGAAAGTATGAGTTATAGAGAAAGAGAAGGGTGGGGCGGGGAGAGAGCTATTGTCTGCTGGTTCACTCTTCAAATGGATGGCTGCCATGGCTGGAGCTAGGTTGATCTGAAGCTGGGAGCCAGGAGTTCCTTCTGAGTTTCTCAAGTAAGGGCAAGAGCCCAAAGACTTGAGCCATTGTCTGCTACTTTCCAGACCCTAAGCAAGGAGCTGGAAAGGAAGTGGAGGAGCCAGGACTTGAAGTACATCCATGTGGGATGCCAATGCCACAGGCAGAGGACTAAGCACTTGCCTGTTATGCCACCACACAAGTCGTTCCTTCCGTCTCTTTTGAAGAAGAGTGGAATGTGTCTATGTGTAAAGAATAAAAGAAGTGTTTAGGTCTGGACTGTGACCCATCTGTGGGAGCTTACAAATACCTATTCTCTTTTAGGGCATATAACCAAGTGCATTTGGGTGGTATCATGCAACTGACACCCAGCTGTTGTAACATTCTTGGAAATGCAGGGTATTCTCTCCATTAAGAGAAAGTTAAGAGAAAGTGCGCCTTCTTCCCGTTTCTCTCCCTGTCCATGCAGTAGAAGGCAGTAGAAGGAGTGACATGGGAGAGGAAGCTAAAAATCTGTCAACTCACCATGGATAATGAGATAGGTGAAAGATAATATTCCATTATATTGTCACAAATATTTGGAGGATTTGTCTCACGTAAGATAATCTAACCTGGCAAATACATAAAATGTAGAGTAAACTTTACTTGATGATTACTGATTTCTTTGTTTTAGTGATATGAACAATGATTACTAGGATGTAGTAAGTGATACATGAAAATGATTGTAGGGACTAGATGATAGCTTTAAGAGTATTCAAACAGATTCTTCATTTTTAAGTAATGAGTTCAGTGGCACAATGGAAGTGTCATCATTAGCTGGTGTGAAACAAAGTGCAATAACTTCCTTCAAAAAATTTTAATCTGAATAAGAATGTATGGATTTCTACCAATAGTTACACAAAATAAAAACAAATTTATATTTTGTAAAAATATAGCTTAACATCAGTAAGTATTGCTCAAAAAAATATACCACATTTATTGTAACTTTTTAAAAGGGAACTTGTGTGCAGGATTCAATTGCTAAATCCCATTTCTTCCATGAGATTTTCATGGAAAATGGACAGACGCTATCTTGGGAACATCTGGATTATATCTGGGAGGCTCTTTGTCTTCTGGAAGACACAGGATACTTCTTTACAAATATCCTGCAGGTGTAAACAGGAAAGAGCAGGTGGCTTGCAATGACTATGCTACTCATGATGTGTAGGAAGAAGGAACTGAGGGAAGGATCAGGATGAAGGTTTTCCTACAGACAGTAGGGATGTGGCTTCGGGCCGATATCCTGCTCCAATCACATAGTGAATGTATTAACCTCTAAACATTTCAGCAGACAGAAACACTGTGCAGGCAGGATGCTAAGGCTCTAAGTCTACATGGAAACCCCATTTCAGGACAGAAAACATTCTTGCTCTCCTACCTATCACAGTTTAAGGACACCATATGGAAACTTGAGGATCTTGTGTCTGAGAAATTCATGGTGTGGGATGTGCAGGGCAGTCTGGCATGACCTGTGGTACGTCTGGTCAATGGCGCAGTCTGGCTCCTAGTTTCTTGGAAAGCGTGTGAGATGAAAATAATGGGGTAAGAGACTGAATACAAAGCATGAAATAGGAAAAAGAATTGAGGAGTTTAAGTTGGAAGCTGGCAGGTAAAAAAATCGAGAAAGTGATTGGCGTAGATCCACAAGCAGACTTCTCCGCATAAGGACCTCCCTTAATAAAAAGTTTGATTTGGAATCAGAAAGAATATTAGCTTTTTTTTTTAAGGAATTAAAGGTGTCATGGCTTAGAAGAAAGAAAAGAGATAGATGTACGAGTACAGAAAGCAAGGGGGAATTGTGAAGAGAAACTGAATGTGTGTGTTAGCACAAATTGAACTGAGCCATGAGGATGTGGAACTGAATTTATCAAATTGTGGACTGGACGTTTCACAAAGCAGCAAGACCCTGCTCTTGAAATAGCTACCCAGGGTGGGAGGGGAGAAGTTCTGAAACATCGCAGAGGATAAGAAAGGCTGAGGGCCAAGGAGAAGCGGAGGCAGCAAGAGAACTCTGCACTCAACCCTCTGCTGGCATCAGCTGTTAGATGGCCAAAAACCGAAGCCCTTGAGCCTCTGTGCGAGTGGATGGATGGTGGAGCGTCCAAGGGTCCCTAAGAGAGGGCAGGGAACTGCAATGGAGCTGTGTGTGGAGGAAGACATCGCAGCTACTTCCAACAGGAAGTGAACCCTCCCTTCAGACTTCTCATGTGAGAACATAAGTGGTATTTTCAGTAACATTTGCAGGAACCTAAGGGGCATTTTCCATGGGCAGAGCATAGGTTTCTTCCAGCTCAGCAACATTTTGACTGAGTTTTATCTTTTAATACTTCAATAAACATCTTAAAAATGATGTGGAATAATAATAGTACATGATGTGGAAATCATGATTATCTTTAAATGAACACCAAGAAGGTTGCCAAAAAAGAATCATGATCTGTATTTTGTTTGATTTGGTATCAATTTTATCTTCCATAAATAGACATACAGGCATACATTTTTTCATTTGTTTGGTTTTAATTTTTTATGTATTTCAGGCAAACTAATTTAATGGATTTTATATTAACAGATTTAAGAGCATGATACTTCCTACAAGACCATCCTTATAGAGATCTACAATGTTGTAGATGGAATTTGTGCTGTAGAATTGCATATTTGGGCCCAGTGCTAACGCCTATAGGCTAAATCCTTACCTTGAACTTGCTGGGATCCCATACGGGTGCTGGTTCATGTTCCAGCTTCTCCACTTCCCTTACAGCTCCCGGTTTGAGGCCTGGGAAAGCGGTAGAGGATGAGCCAAAGCCTTGGGGCTTTGCACTCATGTTGGAGACCAAGAAGAAGCTCCTGGCTCCTGATTTTGAATTAGCTCAGCTATGGCTTTTGCAGCTACTTTGGGAGTGACCCAGCAGATAGAAGATCTTTCTCTCTTTTTCTCTTTCTTTCTGTAAAGCTGCCTTTCCAATAAAAATAATCATTTTAAAAATTGTATATTTAAAATGATACATTTTTATAAGTATCTTTTCCAAGTAAAATTATTTTAAAAGCAATACCAACAGCAAATGCATCATAAATGTGATACTATACATTGATAAAAAGTGGCATATGGGCTTTTGTTGTGGCATAGTGGGCAAGGCTGCCACTTGTACTGCCTGCATACTGTATGAGTGCTAATTCGTGTCCTAGCTGCTCCACTTCCAACTCAACTCGCTGTAAATGACTCGGAAAAAGTAGCAGAAGATGGTCTAAGTACTTGGGCCCCTGCATTCATGAGGGAGACCTGAAGTTCTTGGCTCCTGGTTTTGTTTTGAGTCAATCCCAGCTGTTGCAGTCATGTAGGGCGTGAATCAGCAGATAGAAGATCTCTCTTCCTCTCTCTGGGTCTCTCCTTTTCTCTCTGTAACTGACTTTCAAGTAGATAAATAAATAAATAAATATTTAAAAGCTTAAATTCTTTTCCTCTTGTCTCCTTCCTCTCTTCTGTCTGTCTCTTAATTTTTGAGATAAAATATTTTTAATCTATATTATATTCAAAGGCTTAGTTCTCAACCAAATGAAGAGTTCAACAGGTAAAAATTTTAAATGGCTCGCTTATATAATTAAGTTTGGTGTCCCCAGTTGCATCTATTTTGGTTCAAATGGTAGAATTTAATTGTGTTTTTTTTTAACAACTGAATAATGCTTCGTTTAATTCTTTTTACAACTGAACAATGCTTTTCTTGGAATACACGCACACATATCACATTTGCTTTATCTATTTACCTAATTGTGGAAACCGTAGTTAATTCCATGTTTTGGATATTTTGAACAGCATTGCTAAAAACATCTTGGTGCAAGTATCCCTTTGTAGCAATGATGTGTACATATCTTGTGGGTATAATAGCTGGCAGTGGGATTGTCGGAGCAAATAAGTCTATTTCTAGTTTTGGCTTCTAAATGAATTTCCACACTGTTTTCCACAGGGGGAAGTCAGCACAGTGGGTTCACTGATTTATATTTACATTCCCATCACGTCCTTGGTCTCAGATTTTAAATATAAGTGTTGGATTTATCTTGAGTTGGTTGTTTTTATATGATGAGAGGTAGGACTCTAAGTTCGTTTTTCTATATATAGTTTAGCCAGTGCTCTATATTGGCGAGATAACCTCTATCCATGTAGATGAGCTGAACTAAGGAAGCTCATAAATTATTTCGTACACATGGAACTAACTGTGTTTGACAAAGGTGGAATAATGTTTTCTTGACATGAAGAGGAGGCATTTGTTGCATTTGTGCAAGATGCTAAGGCACCATGGGACTCTGACATGACTCATCCAGTGCAAGAGGAAAGCTTTGATTCAGAGGTCGCTCCCAGAAGGACAGGATCTGGGTACCCTTACATAATCCCCATTACTCTCCCATGATTGTCTCTGAGCGAAGCCCCACACCTTATAGAAATGCACAGACCAAGAATGAAATGTGTGACTTGTATAACCCACTCTTCTGTGTATGCGTGTCCTGACTCACAATGGGAATGATCCAGCCATTGAAACACACAGTCAAAGGTGGAGTTAAAACAAGTTTAATGCGAGAAGCACAGGAAACATATGTTCTCAAACAGAATTTCCTTTCAGATGAACATGAGGCAGTTGAATACCAGGAAAACCACTGAGACACTCTGTTTATTTCAGAGGCTCTGAGAACTTCAGAATGTGTAAGAAAGATTTATTATAGATAGGTTTAGGGTACAAATGAGAGAGAGAGCGGGGGAAGGAGAGAGAGAGGTGAGACATGGAACAGATGGGAGGGGGTGTTCAGCATCTGGCGATCAGCTCCCTGAGGACATGGATGTCACCACATTACTTCTGCTGCTTGGTCTGCTGCAGAGCTGGGCCTGCAGGGACTACAGAGGGATGTGTTTCATGAACCTTGGTGTAACCAGGCTGAGGGACTGTGGAATGGCCTGATCCAGAGACACTGGTGCATCCTGACTCCAGGACCGTGGTGTAGCCAGGCTGAGGGACCTTGATGTTGCCTTGCCCAGAGACCACGGTGCCACTTTGCCCAGAGACCACAGTGTAGCCAGGCTGTTGGACCTTGATGTTGCTTTGCCCAGAGACCACGGTGTTGCTTTGCCCAGAGACTACAGTATAACCAGGTTGAGGGACCTTGGTATTGCCTTGCCCAGAGACCACGGTGTAGCCAGGCTGTTGGACCTTGATGTTGCTTTGCCCAGAGACCGCAGTGCAGTCAGAGTCGGGGACCTTGGTGTAGCCTTGCCCAGAGACAATGGTGCCACTTTGCCCAGAGACCACAGTGTAGCCAGGCTGAGGAACCTTGATGTTGCTTTGCCCAGAGACCACAGTGTAGCCAGAATCAGGTGCCTTGGTGTAGCCTGTTTCTGAAATCTTGGTGCTTCCCTGTTGTGGAACAGTTGGCTGGCATGGTTCTTTGGTTATAGGAACGAATGTTTCTTGAGGTGGAAGCTGTTGGGGTTGTTTCACCTGGTGCTGTTGAGGTGGAGGGGGTGGGGTAACGGACTGCTTCTGCTGGTAAGAGCTCATGCTTCCAAAGATGTTGGACCTAGAGACCAAAAAGTTGGTTCAGAGGGTTGACAAAACCAAAATGAAGTCAAAAAACACCAAAGAAATCTGACTCTTTGCCTCTTGAGAAGTGAAAGACACTCTTCTCTTCTGTTTCCCGAATTTGACATCAACAAAAACTGTTTATCTCTGTGTATTTTCTTTTCTTTTTAAAAAGATGTATTTATTTTTATTAGAAAGTCAAATATGTAGAGAGTAGGAGAGATAGACAGGAAGATCTTCTGTCTCCTGATTCACTCCCCAAGTGGCTGCAATGGCCAGAGCTGAACTGATCTGAAACCAGGAGCCCATAACCTCTTCCGGGTCTCCCACATGGGTGCAGGGTCCCAATGCTTTGGGCCATCCTCGACTGGCCAGCAGAAAGCTTGCATAGGAAACAGTGTGGCCAGGATTAGAACCGGTACCCATATGGATCTCAGCACGTTTAAGGTGAGGATTTTAACTGCTAGGCTACCATGCCAGACCCAATCTGTGTTATTTCAAGAGCTGAATCTTAAAGTTGACTTGATCTTTTTCATGTAAATGTGCCCAAATGTGTCTCCTCCCCCTTTAAATATTTATGAATTCATTTGAGATGGAGTGAGAGAGAGAAGAGAGAGTTCTCCTATCTGCTGATTCACTCCCCAGTTTGATACAAAGATGAGGGTTGGTGCAGGTAAATCCAGGAACCTGGAGTTTCTTCTAGGTGTTCCTTGTGGATGGCAAGGGCCTGAACACTTGGATCCTGTTACCACTTTTTCTTAGGTGCATTTGCAGGGAGCTAGTTGGGAAGTGGAACAGCTGGGACACCAACTGGTGCCTGTATAGGATGCTGGCATAGCAGGTGGCAACTTCCTACACTACAAGGCTGACCCCAGTGCGGACCTATTTAATACTTCTTTTTTTAGCTGGTACATTTAAATGTCTGCATTAGCAACACAGCCCAACAATAGCCCCGCATGATTGATGAGAGGCCACAGGTTTGCAAGTTTAGAAAGGCAAAAACATCAATTGCCTATAGCTTCTCCACCTCTGTCCACGGATAGAAGCCTGTGACACTCAAAGGAATTTCTGTAAATCTCCCTGTGAGCACACATGCTCCATCTCTGAGCAACTCTGCATGCTGCCTCCTCCACACATGCTTTTGAGAAAGGTTTTCACTCTATCAGCCCTTTTCCACACAATCAACACGGCTTTCCTCCCAGGTTCCAGTCACCTTCCATATCTTGCCACGCCACAAGTCACCCTCTGTGAACTCTCCACTAACAATGTTCCATCCTGCCTGGCTGGACAATTGGACTCATGTATTCCATCCTGTAATGGGTCCCAGGTTCATGGGGTAAAGCAGAATTTAACTTTTAAACACACAAAAGGACAAAGAATTTTGATACTGAAAATCATCAATGAAATTAAAAGGTAAATCAAAATAATACCAAAAAATGCAGTGGATGTGGAGTTTAGTCCATATTCTATTATAAAATACTTGCCTTAAAGAAAAGCTCCTGTTCTTCAGTCCTGTAGCTATAGTTTGAGTCAGAAGTAACAAAGATCTACTTTTTTTATCCCTACAAACAAATGGCAATTGCACTCAAATATGTCACTTGAATGTCAAGAAGTCCCAACTGAATTAAACCACACTACAGTACGAATAGGAAGAAGTTTGAAACAGGCAGTCTTACCTCAGTAGGCTGAGCTTCTTGGCTTCTCTGCTCTGGTGAGGAGTCTTTGGCCAGCTGGATTTTTATAGGGAGAAGGAGCCCTGCCTTAAAGAAGAGGGATTTGGGGGGACTCATTCGACTTCATTCCAGCTCTGTGCTCTGGATTAACATTTTTTTCATACTTTCTGTCCAATGATGTTGTCACTTGGGCTTGTCTGCATTGTCCACCCCTGTGGTGTTGTTGCTGTGGACAACAGGCTTCTGGGGTGGGAATGGATTAAAACTGGAGGAAGTTCTGGACTAATAGGAAACAGTCATGCCTCCTGGCCCAGGTCTTAATCTTCAGCCTTTACTAGTCCTGTTTGGTCTCTTACATTTGAAATGGATGTGGGGATAAGAATAAGTATTTCTGGCTCTTCTGAGAGGTTATAGGGAAGGTGTCAATACATGAATCATCCATTTTATCACTGGACCTAGACCAGGGAGTGGAGATGACAGGTTAAAGTGACTGCTTTGGAAATGACTTGTCTCTATGGGGGGAGCTCTAAGGTTCTTCATTGACCAAAGGTGATCGATGTCACTGGGGGTGGACAGTCAAGGTGGTCTGGATCTCTCTGATACAGTGGCACAGACCTGCAGATCCTGCCGATTTGGTGTTTGACTTTTCTGGAGTAAAACAGGAAGAGCAGAGGTGTGATGCTGCAGCTGTTTGCATCAGCCCTTTCCCCTGATCACAGTGGGATGAACCTGAGGTCAGCAGCCCAGGGTTGCCCTCAGTAAATGATCTCCCATTAGGCATGGGACTGTGGAAATACAAACATTCTTCAAACCCTGCTATGTAGGTAGCTCTTCCCTTCTGTGTTACCCCCATGAACCTGTTATCTTACTTACCACAACGAGCTCCATCCACCTCTTTCCCAAAGTCACTAGTTGTTGATTCTCATATTGCCTGGCTCAATGGCTAGGTATTGTTTTTCTGGAATATATCTATGGGTTCATGAAAGGGAGAAAGAAAGAGAGAAAAAAGGAGAGGTGAATGTTTGGGGAGAAGGGAGGAGAGGTTTGTGAAGCAGCTTCTTGAAAATGATTCACTGTCTTAGGACGGGTTTCTGGTATGCATTGAGAAGGACTGGAATCTTCCATTGCCTTCCCCACCCATTGCCTTCCCTCTGTGCTAGCATTTGACCGGTTACCTTCTTCCTGGGTGGTGCCAGGGCCATCACTGTGCCAAAGTTCCAGTCTTTGGTATCACAATAGCTCTCATTTAGGTCCAGATTCCTTTCTTTCCTTGGTGAAACCACCTTTCAGCATCCTCAGAGGGAGTCGTGATCAGATTCTGCTGTACCACCTGGGATTCTTGCCCCCAGAAGCATCTACTTCCTGCCCCTCTGTCCTTCATCATGCTGTTTTGTTTTAGGCACTGGCTAAGGTGAACTTCAGCTTACAATATGGGTCCTTCATGTTGTCCCTTGATTGTTGATATCAGTTCTAAAAGTTTCTTTCTCATTTTCTGTGCTGCTTCCTTGGATGAGTCCTCCTGCCCTGACTTATCGGTGCCTCATTCACTCCAACAAAACTCTGCTTCCATTAACTTCCTGAACTTCTAACTTTATGCCAGCCCTGTTATTCTTGTTTGTGTGGTCTAGCATACTCAGGCTTGTTTCTTCATTAGCAATGATGCAATAGATTCTGGTCTTACAGAAAACTCCATGGCTTCTGAGAACAAGTTATACCTCCCCAAGCACTTGGCTTTCATGCTGGGTCACTTCTTTTGTGGGAGGAAGGTGCTGTTCTTTCAACTTGTCTTGACACCTTCTTGGCACCTGGGGGTGAGTGGTACTGAATATTTCTTAGGCCCTCTGTAAATTTTTTCTCTGTTTTGTCCCTAAGGATCACTCCCACACCTTGTCTACGACTCTGTCTCGTCTTTGTGATCGAGAGGGTTCTTTAATGACATTGCTTGAACTGTATTTTATTCATGAATTTTATTTTTGAAGTGTCTTCCTTCCTCTTTCCCTCTCTCCCTCCCTGCCTTTCTCATCCCCTCCCTCACTCTCTCCATTCTTTCTTCCTTCCCTTCTTCTTTCTTCTTCTTTCTTTCTTTCTTTCTTTCTTTCTTTCTTTCTTTCTTTCTTTCTTTCTTTCTTTCTTTCTTTCTTTCTTTCTTTCTTTCTCCTTCCTTCCTTCCTTCCTTCCTTCCTTCCTTCCTTCCTTCCTTCCTTCCTTCCTTGTTTCATGGTTTTTATTCCTTTTCACCAAGTTTCACACCTGCTCATTCCTCTTCCATAGAATTTTTTTCTTAAGATTTATTTATTTTTATTGGAAAGGCAGATATACAGAGATGAGGAGAGACAGAGAGGAAGATCTTCCATCTGACGGTTTACTCCCCAAGTGGCTGCAACGGCTGGAGCTGAGCCAATCTGAAGCCAGGAACCAAGAACTCTTCTGGGTCTCCCACACAGGTGCAGGGTCCCAAGGCTTTGGGCCGTCCTCGGCTGCTTTCCGAGGCCACAAGCAGGGAGCTGGATGGGAAGCAGGGCTGCCAGGATTAGAACCGGCTGCCATATGGGATCCTAACACGTGCATTCAAGGAGAGGACTTTTTCTTTTTCAAATTATTATTTTTTTTTATTGATTACATTGCATTATGTGACACAGTCTTATAGGCCCTGGGATTCATCCTCCCCTCCCCAAAACCCGCCCCCCCCCATGGTGGATTCTTCCACCTTGTTGCATCATCACAGTTCAAATTCAGTTGGGATTCTTTCCTTGCAAGCATCTACAAAGCATAGAGTCCAGCATCTTATTGTCCAGATAAATTCAACGGTTTCTTGGGGAGACCATCTCTGGTCTGAAGGTAGAGCTGACAGAGTATCATCCCAATCAATTAAAAGCCCTGACATTATATCAGTAACAATTTATAACGATATGGAATTAGTTGACATGGTATTGTGTAACCAGCATGTTGAAAGAGAGAGAGGAAAAAAAAAAAGAGTGCAAGTTCTGAACCACATCCTATGACTTCTACATTGACATTACAATTATTAGTTTATGGACCCAGCGTGGTGGCCAAAGTGGTTAAGGTCCTCGCCTTGCACACCCGGGATCCCATATGGCTGCCGGTTCTATCCCGGCAGCCCTGCTTCCCTTCCAGCTCCTGCCTGTGGCCCGGGAAAGCAGTCGAGGACGGCCCAAAGCTTTGGGACCCTGCACCCGCGTGGGAGACCTGGAAGAGGCTCCTGGCTTCGGATCGGCATAGCATCGGCCGTTGCGGTCACTTGGGGAGTGAATCATCGGACGGAAGATCTTCCTCTCTGTCTCTCCT